CACAAGCCATGGTCACGATGTTGTAGGGCGAGACGACCACACTCTACACACTTTCCTTCCAAGCACTGCTATGAACAACAGAAGTGGGCGAGATCGTTATGACTAAATTTCTATGCACAACAGTGTCCAAAGTCAATCTTTACCAAGCGGCTTCACTCAGCGTATTTCAGTTCCGTTAACATACTTTTTGAACAGGCCTCATATACCTTATGTATGTACGCATCTATTATTCAGTAAAATATTAATTTTGTACCATTATCTTTATTTTATTTTAGTATAAGGCGTTTAATTTACAAATTGTGATTTCTATACTAATGTAGATTCAAACCTGTTGAAATTTGGAACAAGGAATTTAAGTGAAAATATTTTTGAGTGAGATTTTGATTTCACAACGAGAAATGTAATTATAGTAAAGTGTCAACAGGAAGTCACCTAATCATTCGATTAATGATGTGTTAGAAAATGAATTACAGACTCCAGTTCAAGAACCCTCTACAAAATTGGAATCAACTCCAATCCTTCGAGAAAGATTGGATAGAAAATAATGATAATTAAGAGCTAATAAGTGAATGAGACATACCATTTTTAACATTTGGATTGTTGCATTAGTCATATGTTATGGAATTAAATTGACCGTTATGGTTAATGGTAAATAGACTTTTCCCCTCTCACTCTTGGAAACAGAACGATTAACGAAAGAACAGTCTGGGTTTGGCAACTTATAAATGGAGACCTATTTATAAAACCTGGAATGAGGATAGCCAAAACCGAAAATCACGTATTAACGATGACGAACTTGAAGTTTGTGATAAAGAAAGATTAAAATAATCCCTGACTTGAAAGCTGTGGAGAGCCATGATCGCCTATGTCCTGAAGGGAGAAGACACACGGAAGAAGTGCAGTTGTAACATTGTGCGTGCGAAGTAGAGAAGAAGAAGAAGAAGAAGAAGAAGAAGAAGAAGAAGAAGAAGAAGAAGTTAAGGTTAATGGAAAGAAAAGTTGACTGATAATAAAAAAAACATCCCTTTAATGATGCAGGTTCTTCTAAATATATAGTATTGCTAAAATATAATATATTTGATAGGGTCAATTGACGGCACAAATCCTGGATGATTTTCATTGGCCATGCCATCGCCAAAAGGCAAAAAGAGGAAGGATGTGGCGGGCTTGAGTACCTTTTGTTCGCCCGTGAATTAACGAATCAGCACTTAGCTAAACGGGGAGGAGATACCCGTGTAAAAAATGAAGTTTCTCCTCTCCCCACCGCAAAAATTAATAAATGAGAACTAAGAGGCAACCTGAAACTGCTAAATAGTAATGAGCAACAGGATTGTAACTTTTTCTCATTCTTTCCCTCACTGACAAGTAATCGACAAGAGGGTAATAAGGGTGTTCACTAGAAACCATATGTGTTGTGTTATTTAAGACTACGAGGAAAAAAAATCTCCTGCTGAAAAGACGGCTAATTTGATTATCAAGGAACAGAGATGGTTACGCTTTGGTTTATTGGTCCCAAGAAGGCTGTGGAACGGACTGAGCCCATTACGGCTAATGACCGCTAAACACCCTTCTGTGCTACATAAGCAACTATATTTGACGTGGCAATGTCACCAAATAATCATTCAAATCAACTATGGTGGATATAATCATTTCAAATCTTTCAAGATCGCCTGACATGGGTCAAAATATAGCGGAGTTGGTTTCACGTCATTCTGTCACCAGATAAATTGTTTTCTTCCAACAAAGATGTAGCCTTGTGATAACTGAATGAAAAACAAGTTGAAACAACGCATGATCAAAAGGACGCTGAGACAAATGTTTTGGCTTCAAAAACAGTTGAAATAATTATTTTTAACAAACGCGAGATCTCCGTCTTTGAAAACAGTGTAAGGTGAAATAAATATTTCTTATTGAACGCGAAATTACAGACATTCACTGAGGGAATGCTGTGAGTGTATGTATATGTGTTCGGCAGCTTACAATGTGCATAGTTAACTCTCTTTATACAGCCTATGTGTTCGGTAACCGAATGTATAAGTGTCTGCGCATGCGTGTATGTGTGTGTGTGTGTGTGTGTGTGTGTGTGCACGTGTCTTAGACGATCGAACGTACTCGACACTGGCTCAACTGTTGGACGGTGTTCCTTATAAATGATTAGTCGGATAAAATAGGTTAAGATCAGGTATTTCCAAAGAAATGCGATCCCTAAAGTTTAAAGGAATTTTCAAAGAATGAAAAATATTTCTTGAAGATTTTATTTTAGTTTTAATTTCAAGCTAATAGATTAAATTGAATATTTCTAATAAGCAAAATACTTTGCTCTATTTGAAAACTTTTCTAAATTGACTGGAAGATGTTTATTTTTAAATCCCTAAAAAAGAAAATTTTATCGCCACTTTTAGCCATTTTTCAAAAATAAAAGATACTTTTTTGAAACTTTATTTGTGGAATATTATCTGATTTAAAGTTTAAATAATTTGATTTGAAACAAATATTAATTTTAGTTTAAAATATCGCAGAAATACATTTTTTTTAACACGGAGGTAGGTTTTTATTTTAAGATTTTGACTGGTTGACAGTTTGACTGAAGAAGGAAGTTTATATTAGGTTACTTGAGGAATATAACGTGAGCGTCTTTTTATATAATGTTTAACTATCAAGTAGTTTTAATAATTTAGGAAAATATTCTCCGTAATCTAATGTTTTATTGAAGTTTAGATACTTTGGCTTCAAATTTATTATAATTACCACTCCTACTTTTTGATAATGACTTGTACGGACGTCCGTATTTTTAAAAAATCGCCACATTTATACACACAAAATTCATTTTGTTTTAAATATTGGGCGTCACTAAATTTTAGTAAGCTTTTCCGTTTATGATTAGTAAATATATTTTTATTTAATAGCAATATCACATAACCGGTACAAATTAATACAGAAATTTATAAATTTAAAACTTTATAAATTATTGTAATAAAAGTTAACAAAATATAAACAATTCTTGTAAAAAAATATTATTCGTAGATTTTTTTCTTAAGACAATAGTGTTCATAATATAACTTATTCATAAAATCAATTAAAACCTTTCTAATTAAATAATGTCTTAGTTTTATTGCATTTTTGTTTATTTCATGATTCAGAGAAGATTTTCGGTAACTGCTGGTGCTATTTTACAAAAATAGATAAATAAAATGTTGATTTAAATTCTTCAATGATTTCTCCGGATAACCATTATAAATATTAAGCTCTACAAAAATGGATTAAATAAGTGATGTAAAAAATTATTTTACCATATTTTCTAAAAAAGAAATATTTCTAACATAATTTCATTCATTTGCGAATAAGTTCTGAAAATTTAATTAAAATCCGAGAATTATTTGAATTTTGCAAGAAAAAAGAGTATAATTTTTTTTATACTAATTTATGATCCTTCCACTGACACATGAAAAACAAGATTTTTAACCAACATTTTGAATCTTCTAAAAAGGATAAAAAATATAATTAAATAATCCAAAAATCCTTTGGACTTTCCTCTTAATAATAAAGATTTTGACGGTAAAACTTTGTTTTTATTAAGTTTGGGCCATCATGGTATGCTTATTTTTTAGCGACTCTTTGGATGTCCCTAGCTAAGATGGTTTTTGATTACTATCTTTCAGTAAAGAAAGGAATTGGTAATATTTTCATGTAAAACACCATGGAATAAACAATGATGCACTCCTTGCTCAAAGTAGAACAGATTATTCCGGGGAGAGAAAAATAAGTTTATGAGCCCGATTTAATGCAAAAACGCACTCAGAACTCCAACGATACCCTGTTACAGAGCCACTAAGACACAAGAGGTTACTGGGTGTAGAAGAATTAGGGACAGAAACAGTAATAATTTGCGGGAAGAGGAAAGAGTAATCAGGACAGTAGATAGCGATTGACATTGCTTTTAAATCTTTGCAGATTAAAGTTGGTTGGAAAGCACAGAGGCGGAAGGAAGTTCCACAAGTGAGAAGTGCGAGAAAAGAAACTGTTAACATAGAACTTACGATTAAATCTAGCGAGCTCAACTGTAAATTGATGAGAATTCACACCAGTATAGCACTGCGTTTAAATTTTAAAAAAAAATCTAGGTACCATAGCGAAGAGCTCTTCATGAAAGTATTTATGGAAAAAGCACAGAGAGGCAACCTTACAGCGACAGAAAAGTGACCAATCAGAATTGATAATACTGATGATTCTTCTTTGGATTTTATCAAGGAGCTCAAGGTAAACAGCAGGGACACCAGATGATATATGGGAGCAATATTCTCAGAATGGACGAATGGTAGACTAATAGATATATATGATAGATTCTGGAGAGATTACTGAAGGATTGAATTCAGAGATGTTCATCTCTTTAGACTGGTTGCCATCCAAGGCAAGTAGGCTCTGTCTGTTCTATTATTTAATGTCTCGCTGGAAAAAAAATTGATTCATGACTTTTCTTAAAGGCGTAAAGAATGTTTTTCTGTTATTCAATCAATTAGAAGTAAGTGCCAGATAAGCGTGAACTGATTCTGCTAGAATTTGAACACGATTCGTTGGTTCCATTTTTCGTGCTGTTAACCACGCTGCCATTACTTTTTTTGGCGATGAAACTAAATAAGTTAAATTATTGAATATTCAAGTGAAGTTTGTTCTTTTTCAACAGAAACTATATGACGTATTATTTTCATGGAAATGTAAAGAGGTGATTGAAAAGCCCTCCCCCCCTATGTCTTAAGGTCCATCATTTTTGATTACATCTTCTGATATCCTCAGGAGCCGTCAGAATCGGAAGTTTTATTATGTTACGATAACGTTGTTAAAGACAGGAAAGAGAACGTGTAATGTGAGGGGGGGAAGTGGGGGGAGAAGAAATAAAGGGACGGTCACAAAAAAAGGGAATCGAATAAAATATTTGGAAAAGAAAAAACCTAAAGGAATAAAAGAGAATTAATTTATGTGCGTAATTATTCTTGATTCATTAGGTTTCCATTATTTGCTCGAATTATTCAATATCTATCTATCTATCTATCTATCTATCGATCTATCTATCTATCTATCTATCTCAGTCTGTTCTTATCTATCTATCTATCTATCTATCTATCTATCTATCTATCTATCTGTATGAATCTATTCAGATCTATCTATCTATCTATCTATCTATCTATCTATCTATCTATCTATCTGAATCTATTCAGAGGAGATTCAGTCTTTTCCTTTTGTGCTTCCATACGCAACTGAAGAAGGCCAGAGAATAGATCAGCTGAAATGTTATTATAACAAAAAGCAACAACAACAATAACAAACATGATTTGAAAGGCGTTAACCACTATTGAAACAAATTTTCTGAAAAGATTCAAACAAAAAATGGGAGGTGAAAGGTTAAGGGTGGACAAGGAAAGGAAGTAAGGAAGAAAGAGGATAAGTATGCAGACAGGTTGGGTGGGCGGAGGTGAAAGAAAAAGGAAATAAAGAAAGAGTGAAAGAGACGAAGAGAACTTTCAGGATAGAAAGGTAAAAACGACATATGCATTGGAAGGAAAAAAGTAAAGCAGAAAGAATGTAAATCGAAAAGAATTTAAACATTAAAGAGAGAAAGAAAGACCGAATGAAAGAAAGAAAGAAAAAAGAAAGAAAGAAAGAAAGAAAGAAAGAAAAAAGAAAGAAAGGAAGAAAGAAGGAAGGAAGGAAGGAGGGGAGGAAACAAGCGGGTGTTAAGAAAAAAGAAAGAAAGAATAATAAAGAAAAACAGAAAGAATGAGAAATGTTGAGAAATGAAGAAATAAATGGACAAAAGTAAAGAAACGAAAGAAAGAAAAAAAAGGAAAACAAAGAAAAAAGGAAGAAAGAGAAATAAAGAAAAAGAGAAGGAACAAATGAGAAATGTTAAGAAATTAATAAGAAGACATTGAATATGAAAAAAGAAAAAAGAAAGAATGAAAAATGTTAAGAAAGAAAAAAGAAAGAACAAACGAAAGAAAAAGAAAAGAAAGAAAGAACGTGAGAAAGAGAAAAGAAATAAAAACCGCAAGAAAGAGAAAATAAATAAAGAAAGAACGAGAAAAAGAAAAAAGAAAAACGAGAGAAAGAGAGAAGAAAGTAAGAACGAAGAAAAGAAAGAGAGAAGAATGAAAGAACTAAAGAAAGAGAAAAGAAAGTAATAACGAGAGAAGAGAAAGAAAGAAAGAATGAACAAGAGAAAGAAAGAAGCAAGAAAGTAAGTACGAGAGAAATGGAGAAGAAAGAAAGTACGAGAGAAATGAAGAAGAAAGAAAGTAAGAACGAGAGAAAAAAGAAACTAAGAAGAAGAGAAAGAGAGACGAAAGAAAGGAAGAAGCTAAGAAAGAAAGAAAGTAAGACCGCGAAAAAGAGAAAAGAAAGAAAGAACGATAGAATGAGAAAAGAATTAAAGAAAGAACGACAGAAAGAAAAAAGAAAAAAAAGTAAGAATAAGAAAAACGAAAAAGAAAGACATTAAGAACGAGGGAAAGAAAAAAAAGGACGAGAGAAAGAGAAAAGGAGGAAAGAAAGAACGAAAGAAAGAGAAAAGAAAGAAAATAAGAAAAAGACAAGAAAGAAAGAACGAGAAAAAGGGAAAAGAAAGTAAGTAAGAACGAGAGAAAGAGAGTAGAAAGAAAGAACTTGTGAAAGAGAAAAGAAAGAAATTATGAATTCAAGAAAGCGACATTAAAGAAAGAACGGGAGAAAAAGAGAAGACAAATAATATGAACGAGAAAAGAGAAAAGAAAGAAAATAAGAGGGAGAGAAAGAGAAAAGAAAGAAAGAAAGAAGAAAAGAAGAAAGAAAGAACGAGAGAAAGAGAAAAGAAGGAAAATGAAGAAGAGAAAAGAAAGAAAGAACGTGAGAAAGAGAAAAGAAAGAAAAACATACAATAAGTGAGAAAGTTAAAACAAAGTCAGTTGCGTAATGGTTGAAATGAGCAAAATATATAACAATTAAAGTTGTTTTTGTATGATGTAATGCTTAACGAGCTCTTTTCTTTATCTTCTGTGTGCCGTGTCCCTTTAGGACATGGCAATCATGGTTCACCGCAGTGCCTTGTCAATTTGTCTTATTAAATTTTGTCTTTTTGTTATCTCTCCTAAACATTGTTCTGCCACTCAAGATCGCTACTCAGGTGTTATGCGATTTTTCCCTATGTCTCTTTGCCTTCAAGCTGTCCTGTGAGTATCACATTTTCTAGGCCCTCTTTCCTCATTATGTGACCTAGAAAGGTCAACTTTTTGTTTCCATTTTCTCTATATGTATCATCTGATAAAAAGTTTTTGTTCTCTCTTGAATCGTTTGATTGAGGCTTGTGTGTGTGTGTGTGGGGGGGGTAACTCGTACTACACCAAGTAAAGCGAAAACACAATAATAATAATAATAACAAGACGATGTTATTTTATTTATGGTAACTGGATTTTTGGTGATAACCTTACTCGTTTCGATACTGTTCGTCTACATGTTGCATATAAGTATCTGTTTTATTTCCATTTTCTCTAAAACTTTGTCATTGCTCACATGTTCGGTCCATGGTATTCTCACGTACCTTTTGTAGAACCACACCTCTGTTGTTTCAAATCTCTTTTTCATCTGTGACAACATTTAAAGACATATAGGAGGACTTATATTACGTAACAGTTCAGTACTCTTATCTTTCTTTGTAACGAATTTTTTCTTTTTCTTTTTTTATTCCTCTCGTTTAGCAGGTCCGTGTAGTCTGTTCGATCATTAGTTGGAGGAAGGCGCCGTTTGTTACTTCCGGTTAGTATGATCGCAGCCTTGTTGTGGGTAGTTTTTAGAGAGTAGCAGATCCTTAGATAAAGACAGTAGAAATGAGAAGAAGAGTTAGGATAAAAACGAAGGAGAAAAAGAAAGGAGGAAAAGTAAGCAAAATACATCGAGAAAAAAAAAAGAAACAGACAAATAACGAATGAGAAAATATCTAAGAAGGCTAAAGAAAGAAAGAAAGAAAGAAAGAAAGAAGGGTTAATAAGGCTTAAAGAAAGAAAGAAAGAAAGAAAGAAAGAAAGAAGGGTTAATAAGGCTTAAAGAAAGAAAGGAAGAAAGAAAGAAAGAAAGGAAAGAAAGAATATTCAAGGTGCCTGAAGAAAGAAAGGAAGAAGGGTAAAGAAGGCTTAAATAAATAAAGAAAGAAAGATGGAAAAAGAAGACTTAGGAAGGCTAATAACTAAATAAAGAAATAAAGAGGGTTAAGACGATTAAGGAAAGAAAGTAATAAAGAAAGAAAGAACGCAAGAAAGGAAGAAAGAACGAACGAACAAAAGAAAGAAAGAAAGAAAGAAAGAAAGAAAGAAAGAAAGAAAGAAGGAAAGGAGGGTTAGAAATACTTAAATAAATAAATAAGGAAAGAAGGAATATCTAGGATGGCTAACGAAAGAAAGAAAGAAAGAAAGAAGAGAAAGAAAGAAAAATGATTAGGAAGGCGTAAGAAAAGAAAGAAAGAAAAAAAGAAGAGTTAAGATGGCTAAAGAAAGAAAGTAATAAATAAATTAATAAATAAAGAAAAAAGAAAGAAAGAAGAGTTGAGAAGACTAAATAAAGGAAGAAATAAAGAAGTGTTAGGAAGGTTAGAGAAAGAAAGAAAAAAGTTAAGAAGGAGAAATAAATAAATAAATAATGAAAGAAAGAAAGAAGAGTTAGGAAGGCTAAATAAATAAATAGATGGGCAGGAGAAGGAAAGAAGAGTTGGGATGACGAAAGAAAGAAAAATTAGGAAGGAGAATGAAAGAAATAAAGGAAAGTTGGGAAGGCGAAAAAAGAGTTAGGAAGGAGAAAGAAAGAAAGAATGAAAGAAAGAAAGAATGAAAGAAGAGTTGGGAAGGGGAAAGAAATAACGGATAGTAGGGAAGGCGGAAGAAAGAAAGAAAGAAAAAAATACAGGAAGGAAAAAGAAAGAAAAAAATTAGGAAGGCTAAAGAAAGTAAAAAAAAGAAAAAGGTAACGAATCATACTTGAGAAGAAGTAGCGTCATCTGATTTCTTCAAAGGCTTGCCGACAGCGTCCAGCACTTCAGTTTGAGAATTAAGCTAATTCATGTCGTCAGAAGGAAAAAAGCAATTTTCATTTTAGCAATTCTTGACAAAACACATCGATCCATACCCCAACCTAAGCCTGCCGAAAAAAAAACGAAAACATCACTTTATATATATATATATATATATATATTTTTTTAATACAAATGTTGTTGTTCCTTGGTGGTGACCTTTGATGAGGAGGATCGACAAGTGCTTCTTGAAGTCATCTTTTGCAATTATCTTTCTAAGTCGAGTGTCAACCAAGCCTTCAAGGAACTCCATCTTGTTTCCTCTTTCTAGTGTTTGATTTGTAAAAGCGTTGATTAATCTGCAAGATGTTCTTTGGACGTAAAGCTGTGTATCAAGATATATATATATATATATATATATATATATATATATATATATAATATAAAGAAAGCCAAATGGGCTTGACTATATACCAAAATATATAATAAAAAATTAATTTAAAAGTTTAAAATTTCAGCGTCACCTTGTCTTCGTTCTGATATTAAGTTTTAGTCCGACGATCTCCTAAAGGACTTAGTGCGTCACACGGAAAAAATTTCAACTTTGTTATTAACTTTTCTAACATATATAATATGAAAATCTTTGGATGTTCGACATACTCTTCAGAATTATTTGGATATATTATGTGCCTGGTCGATGAAATGGCTTTTCTGATTTAACCTTGGAAAGTGTACTATCAATGATCTTGACAGTCCAAATTCCAAATTTCAACTCACTTTTGTTGGTCATGTAATGAATACTATCAAAGAAAAAGACTTGGGGTTAATTATGACTTTGATTTTCAAGTCATTGAAGATATATAAACAAATAATTCCCACTGCATGCTAACTACAATGCAAAGATTCTTTCCCAAACAACGTAAAGAAACATTTCAAAGCTTTATTTTTAAAAAAATCATTTCACGCTGTGCAAGGCAATAAACGTAGAACCACGGGGCATTAATGAAAAAAAATCTAGAAGAGTGGTCATTCAAGATAACTTTCATTTCGCGATTTGATAAGAAAAATTGAACCAGTTTAAAAATTCTCCTAGAAATACCATAACTTTATGAAGACAGCATGAAACCTGTCAAATGCCCAAAGCCATTCTTATCTGAAGCCTTCAGCAATAATTATTAATACATCAGTAGTTGACCTAGAGAAGCGAAAGCCATATTGCTTATCTGAAAGAAGACTCTGCGAAGTGAAATGCTTAACCAATTCAGAGTTGATTATAGAATTTAGTACTTTGAAAACTAACAAGCCGATAGTTAGAATGACCAGATAGTTCATCTGAGTTTTTAGACTGAAACAGTAGCAGATGATTTCCAAGAAGCAGTAAAGCAAGAAGCAACAAGACATTTATTGTAGAATTTAGAGATACCAGGAATTGATTCTGGAGCACATTTCTTAAAGACTACTGCAGGGATATCAATAACTCCACATTGCTTTGTGGTGATCCAGTTTAGAGATGATAGCAGAAAGCGTGGGCGGCATTATATGCATATCACTCAATAGAGACATAGTGGAAAGTCAGGCAAAGATACTCCAAGTGAGTCAAGAGTAGAATTTGAATAAAATTTACGATCAAAACCTTCTGCTTTATTATCAGAAATTGTTGATACTTCAAATGGACTTTTCAAATTACTTATCGCTCGTCCGTCCTTTTTTTAGTCTATACTTCTTTTATGTACTAATGTTTCCAATCAGCATTATATACAAAAGATAAAAATATATATAAAAAGGCTTTAACAAAGTGATTCCTGAAATTAAAAATATGCCTTACTCCGACAGACTTAAAAATCTTGGCATTTTCTCACTTGAAACTGAACGTCTTAGAATGGATTTAATACAGGTAAATGGTAAATTCAATTTGTAGAAATATTTTACTAAAGGTCAGTGTAAATCCGCCAGAGGACATCTATTAAAATTCAAAGTCGATGATCGTTCTATTCTGGGGTAATAAAAACTAAGATATCAAATAGATGATCAAAGATACAGCGATAAAGAAAGAAGACAAAAACGAAAAAAAGTATAGTTTACCTATCTCTCCCCCTCTCTCTCTCGCTCTTCAAATCTTCTGTAACCCCTTGCATCCTAGTGGCTTCCCGCCTTGCTTGCGGCGAAACGTTTAAAAAAAAAAAATAAATATAAATTAAATGTTATGTGTGTTGGAGGTGTACTCTATTCGTTCTCATCGTACGTGGATATGGATATATATATATATATATATATATATATATATATATATATATATATATATATGTGTGTGTGTGTGTGTGTGTGTGTGTGTGTGTGTGCACATATATTGAGCGCTTTCTAATAAGAACCGCTCATATATAATATATAAATAAATATATTGAAATTGCATATATATATATATATATATATATATATATATATATATATATATATTATTTATATATTATATATGCGCGGTATTCAAAGCGCTCAGTATCAGTGATAGAGTTAACATATTTAGTTGCATTGATGTGAGTTTAGACCCTGGGTTTCATGTACTTTGCGATCGTCAGACAAAGAATTTGCCTTAACGATCCTAAAGGGCGTGAAACCCAATATATATATATATATATATATATATATATATATATATACAACAACTATATATATATATATATATATATTATTTTTAATTTATTTTATTTAAACATTATTTTTGATGAATTCTCATATTTGAATATAAGCTCTTCTTTTTAATTAAATAGTATTTTTTAGTTAAGTGTGAGTGTGAGGTTATGAAATTCCTTTTCTTTGACGAGTTGCCAACCACAGTCTGACCTCCTAAATAACCAATAACCGTTGGGGGGTAAAGAAGAGTT